TCTTTTCTCCTTAACTCCAGGAGCTGCCTCCTGGCTTCTACCAATCATCTCTCCAATTTGCACCAAACTGTTCAATGTTTTGTATTTGCCACAGTTGTCTTCCTTACCCAATGGCTGCCTTGGATAGTGACTGTAGTCCTACTTTCCTCACCAAAGTCCTCTCTTTTCCTGGATTCATTTGTTAGTTCGTTTATTCATTCACTCAGTATTTCCATGTGTCACATGTGCTGTGTGAGGCCCTGGAGGGAGCCATGGCCTCGTTTCAAGGAGTGGGAAGACAGCAATGCATGCTGGTCCCCCCTATGCCTTTGTCCACTGCCCAACGTGCATTAGTATTTTCGGAAATCATCTTCCCTACAAAGTATGTTCATCACCATCAGCAGGGACAATTGTCTTCCCTCTGTACTGTCCCACTTCTTCAGTCAACTTCTGTCTTCATCCACATCCCTTTGGACTAGTATTGTTCTATTTTGCACCATAGCAGTACTGTGAGCTTCTCGGGGGCATTAAATCGGCCAGGCTTGGGAAATAGCTTTGCAGGTGAACCCATTATTTTCTGCAACTCCTCCAGTCTCCCTTGCTTCTTCTTTTCCATCTGTGCCATAAACAATGGCCTGCTGTCCAACAGTCAGTCCATGTATTTGCATGCTGGCTGAGGAGGCTTGTTCATCACAAAACAACCAGCGAAGGACATGTCCCACCTATCCCACAAAGAGCTTCAACTTTCCTAGTGCACCCAGCCACACAAAGCGAAGAATCACGCATTCTCCCTGAGTAACACTTGTTCCCGTAGGTCAGGCAGGACTCAGACTTCAGGTAACTTGGTCACCTTCTCAGATCTCACCATGTTTCTCTTGCATTCATCTCCTGTGGCTGCTGTAACAATCGAGGTGGCTTAACACAGGTATTTATACCCTTTCTGTTCCAGAGAGCAGAAGTCTTAAGTTGTGGTGATGCAAAAGCCTCTCTAGCGGAGGGGTCTGGGTCCTAGTGGTCCAGAAATCCCTGGTGTTCCTTGGCTCACGGCTGTATCCTTCTTTTTCTGCCTCTATCTTCAAGAGCTTTCATCCCCGCTGCTTGCAAATGTGTCTTTACAAGCTCTGAGAGCAGCCACTGGATTCCGAATCCACCCTTACCCAAGGTGACCCCATCTAACTTCAATCAGAGCTGCAAAGGCCCTTTTTCCTGTAAGGTCACATTGTGGCTCTGGGAGATGAATTTTGAGGGGACATTGTTCAGTCCTGGGTATCCTGGTCTACTTACGCTAAAATCAGATTATCCTGATGCTGCTTGATTATAACCTTCCAGACCTTGAAAACCTAAAATGAGTTTAATTTTCCTCTCTGACCTGATCGTCTAAAGCAGCAGTGATTACTAATCATGACACACATTATTTTCATCTTAGACACTTTAAAAATCGTGATTGTGATAAACTGTAAGCTCCACGGAATGGGAGTCTCATCTGTCACGTTTTTCCCCATTTCCCAGAGCACTGCACCATTCACATGTGAGTTTCCGCAGCTACCTGTTGAATGAATGCACTGAGTAGCAGTTTGGAGTCCTCTATCTGACTTTGAATAATCCTCCATTACCTGTCATGGCACCATCCGCTCCATCAGCATTTACTAAGTAAAAATTAGGTGCTCTCAATAAATACTTGTTGTTGGTTGATTGATTAATCCATCAGCCAGGTTTCCTGCTGAAGCATTTTTAATGTGGGTCTCCAGGGGGCTGGCGGGGAGTTGGGCACAGAAGGGTAAAGGATGGGCCATGGAGACACTTGCTCAGCATTCCCACCATGGGACTTCTGGGGCTTGCCTAAGGTCTCTGTTTGCCTGAGAATCCACTTCTAGCCCTTCAGGAGAACCTTACCAATGACACTGGGAACCATGGGGTCCAAGACATAAGGTTAAGACTCATATTAAGACCAGATAGCACAACTTTTTCTCCAGAAAGTTTCAGATAAGTGAGCTGACCCTAAAGTGGAGAGGTACCAGGTACTCCACTCTCTCCTGAGTCACCCATGGGTCCTTTCTGGGAGAGATGCACTGTATGACTCCACATCTTGGAACATACCACAGCTTGGTGCACTGTGTCCCCAAGGAAAAGTGCTCTAAAAATGCAGGGGACGTTGGCCCTGGCCTGAGGATGATGGCAATGGATTGGTGGTTTCTGATGTTGCTGTGAATTCTGTGGGCAGAGTCCAGCAAAAGGAGGTCAATGGTTACTTAGACAGAGCAGAAGAAAAAAAGAAGGAAGGAAGGAAGAGGAGGAATACAGGAAAGAGAGAGCGAGAGATGGTAGGAGGTAAAGGAGGAGAGGGAGGGAGAGGAAGGGAAGGGAAGAGGTAGGAAAGAGAAAGAGGAAAAAAGACAGGAAAAGAAAGAAGAAAGAAAGAGAAAGAAAGAAAGAAAGAAAGAAAAGAAAGAAAGAAAGAAAGAAAGAAAGAAAGAAAGAAAGAAAGAAAGAAAGAAAGAAAGAAAAAATAAAGGTAATAAACAAGAGAGCAAACAGGGAGTGTCAGGAATCAATCATTTTACCCCGCAGTTTGGTCGCAGACCATCACAACTGTCACCCACACCTGCATCGCTGCCCCTTCACCAGCTGCCGTGAGTGACCCAAAGCCCCACAGGTCAGGCATCTAGTAAGTAAAAAGCTACGTGCGATCGCTATTCTCTTTTTACGTGTTCAGTTTTTTCTTCTCTAAGTGTCTTAAGTCCCCCACCCTCTTAGCACGTATTCCTCTGGGGATTACAGTACTAAAGCTGGCTTTATTTTGTTTCAGTTCCCTAGTATCCATTTCAATAGACTCACTAATACCACTCATTTTCAGATTTGGTGCACTTAATAGATTGAGAATATGAGGTCATGTGTCCAAAAGGGTAATTATCATTCTGGGCCATGACTGAATGGTTTCATTGTCCTCAAAGTATAGGGAAGGCAGAAAAGACTTTTGTTACGGCATTACCTGATGTGTGTGTGATTTCTAAAACTGCACATGACTCAATTTGCTGTTGCAAAATAACAGAAAGTTAACTTTGCTTCAGGGAAAGTGGGATTTTAGTAGGAGATGGATTTGTAGTATCAGGAAATGCAAGCTATGGAAAAATTACATTGGGTACTAGCCTGTTGGCTCCTGGCAAGTGACAGTTTATCACATGTGCCTATTCGGTACCTACTGCACCTTTGGTTTCCTAAATCCTCACCCCTTAGGGTCGGAGGCAAGGGCAGTGAGTTCCCACAGCTTTCTGTAGGAGGGAAAGACCCCTCTCGTTTCCTAGAGTGGATAACACTTTGAGGTCCTCCTTTCAATTCCAGGTGAAAGAGAAGTTCCAGTTTTGTGCCACGTTAGTGAATATAGAAATGAACTGAGGATCACAATTCCTACAACTCTTTGAGGCTCCCAAAGGACTGACAGAAAGGATTCTGGGAAAGAGGTCCGGTACAGACCGGATGCAGGGAATACTAAGTCCCAGGAACTGGAAGCACGGAAGGAGCATCCAGAACTCTATGGGCTGATTATTGCTGATTACAACCCAAAGGGGAGAGGCCAAAGATGGTGACTCCAAGAGTGACACACCTCCACCGGACAGCTGACCAGCTCCCACATGGCTCCAAGCTCCCTCTGCTCTTGACCTAACTGCACAGCACCCACGCATCTTCTCTGACCAAACACACTTCATTCTCTGTTCACTTGCTTTCCTTCCTCAATATCCCTTCCATCTTTCATCTCCAATGTGTATCCGTGTTAGTCATCCACCACTGGGCAACGCTCAGTGGGCACCATCAGTCAAAAGGTGAAGGCAGAGGCAACATCTTTAGATAAGAGGTGAGAAGGTTGAACACATCACTGCCTGTCTAAGCTTCCTGAGCTGCACTGACTGACCTCAAGTAGAAAATGAAAATAATACTCATCACACTCAAGTCATCACGGTGAAAGATCTCCATCCAATGCCGTGTTTGTAATCCAGGGACAGGGCAAGACACTATCTTCTCTACTAGAACATTTGACTGCTACGCTCTCATTTTACTGATAATGGAAAGTCACATTGGTACAGAACAGTCTGCATTATGGGTGATCCTTTATATTTAAGAATTGCTGCCACATTCTTTAATGCAAGGATTGCAAGCAAAATGGTCCTTTGTGATGCTCTTTTGATTGATTATACCAAGGAGGAAGTAATAAAGGAGAAATAAATTCACAACGATGTTCTGCTCCCAAATGCATGTCAAGGAACTTCACAGCACCTGGAATCAGAGGGGAACAGTTACAGGATTGTGGAGTCATCTCCCCGTGCATAGGCATGGTAAACCAAGGTGAGCCTGGACCAGATCATTTGGTGTTGTGTAGTAGAGAATTTTGAACCAGTTTCATCGAAACCATATCATGGGATGTATTTAATTTAAAAGGTAAGTGTCTTAGTCACTTTCTATCAGGGGGATCAAATACCTGACACCAAAACTCACAAGAAGAGAAGTTTATTTTGGCTCATGTTTCTCAGAGGATTCAGTCTTTAGTTAAGTGGTTCTGAGCTGTAAGGGCCTGGAGGAAGGGGGAGGTGGCAGAAAGCTGCTCACGTCATGACATCCGGGAATCCGAGAGAGAAGGCAGGAGCCAGGGAGGGAGGTGCACCCTTCCATATCTTCCCCCCTCAGTGAGTCTCTTCTTCTAGCCAGAGCTCACCTCCTAAAAGTGCATTCAGCTGCAAACATATCATCCAGACCCCCTCCAAAGCCCTGCCTCTGAACCCATGAGCTGTGAGTGGAACATTCTAGATCTACACCGTAACACTGCATTTTAAATATAATGCAACTTTGTTTGCACTTGTTTGATGAATATATTTTGTTTAATAGTTTCTTAAGATCAGAGAACAGGGGCTGGGGATTTAGCTCAGTGGCATAAGTGCCTGCTTTCCAAGCGCGCAGTTGTGAGTTTGATCCCTGGTACCAAAAAAAAAAAAAAAAAAAAAAAAAAAAGATCAGAGAACATTATCAGGAAGTCGTAGGAATGCGTGCAGATTTTTATTTTTCTAAATATTGCATAGCATCATACTTGAAACAATGTCAGATTTTAAGTGGATTCTGAGCAAAATAAGCATGAAATCGGACACAGGGAATGATCTATAGAAAGTGCCCAAGAGATGTAGTTTTCCTTTTGGAGGGCTGTGTGATTGGAGAGTATCTGCAACATGCTGGGTGACATGAGGAATAGAAAAAATAGAAGCATAATGAATAATCGTAAATTCATCCATTCATCACTTTAGATGAGTGCCCAATGTTATGCTGAGGATGTCACATACTTTATCTTTCTAATCTTCTACTTGAAAGCACGGGTTGTCATCCATTCTTACAGTCCCTTCGCACTGTCATGAATTTGATTATCTTTCCAGAAAGTGCCTCGTGCATATAAACATTAATATGCATCTAGGAATGTCAAATGCTGAAAAACCGAGGTGTGAATCAACTCTGAAGAAGAAGCCCGGAAGGTCTCATGACGGTCAGACTTGGATTGGCAGGATCACTGGAATGTTCCATCTGTCCTTCAGATTCTCTGTCCCTTTTCTGCCTCCTTCTTTGGAACCCCAAGAGGCAGTGTGTATCTATGACAGTAAGAGCTTGTCTTGCTCTCTGGCTTCTATTTGGATTCCACCGAAGGGACCCGATCGTGACCCATACAATCTTGGGATGTCTTGCAAAAGAGAGTTTCATGGTCATACTCAGACTGACTGGGTCCATGCATTACCGCCACTTCCTAAGCAGACTGGCAGGTGTCTGAACGCAGGAAGGAAACAGAAAAGGGTGACTAACAAGAAGGTCTTTCAAGTGTAGGGTCCTGGAATGGTTCTTCATGCAGTTTTTTTAGATCGTTTTCATGATTTTTGCATTGAAGATGTTTAGCCTCTGGGCTGCACACCACCTGGAGATGTATCCATTGGTGCCTCCTTGGGAAATTCAATTGTTTCCCATGAGCACGAAATGATTCTCTTAAGACCTGAAAGATCAACAAGTATGGTGACATCAGTCAGAGGTCATGCTGAGCCAAAGTTTTGGCAAAAACATGAACAGGACAGAGGAAAGCATTAAAGTCAAGCTATTGATTCCCTGACTTCTCCTTTCTGGGGACTTAAATTTGCTGTCTACCAAAGGCCAGAGGTCCCGGAATGTTACCCTCTCCCTATGGCTACCCATGCTGGGTGCTCATGGCTCCTTCCTCCCTTGGCTCCTCCCTTGGCTGAGGTCTGGTGGACCTTCTCAACCCCCATCCCTGCCTCCACCCTTATTGATTCCCTCAATTCTGTAAAAAATCCCTTTACCACTACCCAGTTTCTCCTTTCCAGCCCCTAGCTGATAGAGAGCTGGGGTGACTGGGATTAGCCCCTGGGATCTCAGATGGGAGAGGTAGAGAGAATGAGTTACGGTGAAGCAGACGGTACACCCTGAACACAAACAGCAGTTAGTATTAGCATTAGTATTAGCACTAGTACTAGTATTAGCATTTGAGGCCTGTGTTGATCCCGACCAGATACCAGGATCCTTGCTCCATAATTCCTAATTCTGAAGACACCCTTATCATGCTGGACTCATTTTCCCTGCAAAGAAGTAGAGTCACCACTGAGGTCTAAGGCCACTCGCTTCACTGTTGAATGACAAGGTCAGAATTTGACTCAGGCTCTGATTGACTCTGTATTCAGACTCCTATCAATCTCTGAGTGACAATGAGTCTGATGAGCACGAGAGGGTCTTGAAGGAAGAAGAAGTCTTTGCTCCACAACTTCAGTGACCCTCCTCTCTGCCCACCATTGAGAAGAAAGGCCAGCAGAGCTCTCCCTGCTGGACTACAGACTTTCTAGAGCTCTTTTTGGCCTGCCTGCATTACCTGGATCACCCTCTCTGTATGCCGCCAGATCTGGGCTTCAGAAACTCCTTGGCCTCTCCAAGGTAATAGCTGTCCATCCTGCACCTGGCCTGTGTTTTTGCCTTTGGGCCCTGAACTCTGGCCAGCTGCTCTATCTGAGCTGGGGCCCACCTGCTGCTCAGAAAACCACAGCCTCCAGAGCGAGCAGAACTGATGTGATTTCCTTGTGGCTGAGACGCAGCAAAAGCCTAAGGTGGCTGCAGGAGAAAATCAGGGTCGCAGGCACGCAGCCCTGGCCAGAAACAGGCCAGAAAACCTGGCCCTGAGACAAGACTAAAGCAAAAGAAAGAACTTTCTGTGTCAATAAAATGTACTTCACCTCTAAATGTTTTCTTTACGTGTTCCCTACTAAAGTTTGGAGAGAGGTGAAAGGGTTTGGTGAAGGGAAAAACACAGCACTCACCTTCAACCTATCGGGGAACTCTTTTCGGTGCTTATGAGCATGCATACATGTATCGCACAATTACATCCTCTTTCCTCAAAGCGGAGTCTGTGAACTTGCAGCCCAATAATCACCTGGAAACACATGAGAAATGCAGAATCTCAGGCCAAGCCTCAAACCCACAAACTGAAATCTGCCTTTTAGACAAGCTCTCCAGGTGATATGAAGAGACATGGCTATCAGGGGCACAGTATTTAATGGGATGAGTTCGTCTCACTGATCCCCTTTTAGTTCAAAACTCTGTTTTCTCAGCCTGTAATCAGGCATGCTGGGCAGCTGAGGACAGAGGACTGCAAGTCTGAGTCCAGCCTACTTAGCGACTTAGAATCTGTCTCAAAACAAAAACAGATACATATTTATAGCTGTAACTCCATGTGAAAGCCCCGAGTTCAGTTCCCAGCACCACTAACCCTCATGCTATGTCTGTCGTGCCTCAGTTTGATGCTGTCATGTAGCGTGCTATGCTACCAAATGTCCCGTTACAGCCATTTTTGTAGAAACAGTACGGGCAACTGTCACCATTATTGCTATCATTTATTGAGTGCTAATTATCTCCTGGGTTCTGTGGTGATTGCTTTGCAAGAATTATTTCCTCTCATCCTTAGAGTGGCCCTACAGAGGAACGGGTTACACTTATCCCCAAAGTAATGGTGTTGGGCTATTTTTAAAAATGAAATACAGCATTTCAAATAAGAAGACTTTCGAATAGTAATATTCCTATGAACTGTTGTCAAGAGTAACAGCATTTATTAGGCATTTTCTTTATTACGGAGACTACATTAACTGCTTTATATCTATTTTATAAAATGTAAACCTCCAACAATCCTAAGAAGCAAGTGTTATTATTAATTCCCTAAACATGGAGGGACCTGGGTCCAGTGATTAACTATCTTGTTCAAAGTCACACTTTATGACCGCTGTAGAATCCTGGTTTGAACCCTGGTTGATCAGGCTCCGTGATTCATCCTCTGGACATGGCAAGGTGTGGAATGCAGGGTTTTCTCTACACCTAGTGCATCCTGGAGTCCTCCTTTCCATGTCACTGCTGGGAACATAAGCAGGTCATCTCTTTCCTGAATCCTTCATGTGTGAACAGACAGAAGATTCCTCCGCCTGACCTGATGGGCTCTAGGGAGCACAGGACTCCTCGTCCCAATCATAGTTCTCAGGCCTCCAGAGCCTCAGACACTCGACTGGCTGGCAGTGTGGCAAACATCCCAGGACTCTGCAGAGGACAATGGGCACTGAACTGCAGGTGACCTGACCTGCTAATCGCTGCCTGATTACCAGCTAATCAGTGCCTTGCTGGGACACTGAATCCCAAATCCCTTTGGACTGGGCTGGGCCCTGGCAGGGCCCGGTCACCTGGTTAATATGGCAGGGGGTGAAGCAGGGGTCACATGTACCAGTACAGAGTGGCCAAAGGCTGCCTTCAGGGAAACGGTCATGGGACCTTCTCTCCCCCGCTGGTCCAGGGCGACTGCAGAACTTGTCAACAGCATGGGAGTGAATAGAGGCATGGAAATTAAAGGCCAACGTCTCTTTCCTACAATTTATGGGGGAAAAAATTAATCAATCCTTTCATGCATAGAGAAAACAAAAGATTTTTTTTCCAGAAATGTCGAAAGAGGTCTTATCTGAAAAAGTGAGTTAACATCTATCACCAACAAACCCAGCACTGCCCACCTCCATGATGAGCACTATTACCAGAATCACCATTCTCATGGACACCTTCACCCCAAACTCCATAATTATCACCCTCTCCATCACCAGCACCATCACCTCCACCAGCATCACCACCTCCACTGCTCCCAACACCAACATCGCCATCAACCGACTCATCTCCCTGACTCAAAGAGGAAAAAGAGTCCCACTACGATTCACAGAATTATAGGTGTTTGTCACCACACTATCACCGCCATCATCACCACCACTATTTCGGGCCTTACTGTGTCACCACAGTCCTCACTGCCACTATAGGTGCCACTACCAACATCGCCATCACCCCTACATCGCAGTCACCCTTCTATTTATTATTACCACCCTCCAACACTACACCTACCACGAGCCCCACCACAACTGCCAGGAACACTGCCATTCCATTACCAGAAGCACCACCTTTACCAAAGCCACCACGATCCCTGCTACTGCCCCTGTCACAGCACCACCATAGCTGCATCCTCCCACCATCACACTCTGCCACATGCTGGTAAGGCTATTTGGAGCAATATGTGACAAAAACATTGGTTTGAGAGTCACTTAGAAACTATTCCATAAATACTAGCTGTTTGAGTCTGAATAATTAATTGAACTTTGAAAGCTTAGTTTCTCCAAATAGAAAAATAAGAGAGAAGTAATAGAACCAGCTCATAGGCCTGCGGCTCATACAAAACATTTATCAGTGTTTGCTACCGTGAGTTATGTCCAACTCCTGAACCGGGCATGCTTCTTCCAGATCCTCTGTATGGAGATGGACAGAGGGATTCACGCACCAGCACCCCGCCATAGAGAGAGACTTAGGGAAGCGTGCAGTTTGAGAGAGCTGTGTGTCTTAGCACACAGCTTCTTCTCTAGCAACCTTTCTTGAAGATGTGGGAGGAGAGGACAATTTTCCCTAACATTTGGGGCCTTCTAACCTGCCTTGCCACTTTTAAGAAGCAGAAGTCTGGTCCTGGCAGGATGAGGTGAGGAAAGTTCCAGATATGGAATCAGCTGTCTGGATTTGAATCCAGATCTGCTTTCGAAAGACCATCTGATATGGGAGCACCTCGACCAGAAACTCCTATTTGTCTTTTAAAAAGTGGGCAGTGATAGTCTTTTCTTGGGCAATCCTCCTTCCTTGGAGGATTGTGTGATAAACTAGAGAAAACCCTGCAGGTCACCAGCTGCAAAAGTAGATCCGCAATATATTAAGCTGACTTCCTTCACCAATAATTGAGCTTTAAATAAACAATTATCAGGAAGTGGCAAATTGGGGCCTTGCACTACAGAACCTTCTAATGGGTGAATAAAATCAAGTCTCTTCCTCTTCCAGATGGAGCCAGCCCTACACTCGATTGGTTCTCTGGGTATATTGCAGAGGTCTAATAAAAGGTTACCTTTGCCCAGTTGATTTAGTTCTAGGAAGCTGTTCAATGTTTGACTATATTTCTTCAAACATTTAAAAACAGTTCATCAGGGTAGTTCAATTGAATTATTGCTCCTTGGGAGCTTTCCAAACCCTGGATTTCCTTCAGAGAAAAGTTGGAACCTATTTCATTCCAGAGAATTCAGCTCCTCGGCCCTTTCTGTGAACCCTGATCCCAAATGCAGTGTGACACCTTGCTGCCCTGCATGAAGATAGCACCCCCACCCTCACATGCTCATGAAAGATCCTGCTGGTAAGACAGTTCATATTTTAGGTTGTCTGAAGCAAACATGTCAAACAGCTATATTGACATCTTGGTAGTGGGCATAAGCACAGTGGGTCCCCTGAAGGTATTTACATGGTAAGAAGAAGAGAAAAGATCTCATTCCATGAATCAAGCTGAGTGAAGACCATGTCTCAGTGAAAGGTCTCTCAGCAGAACTTCCATCCATGACCTTGTGACTTAAGTTGCATATGAGGTCAGGACAGGCAGTGGTGCATTCTGGACCCACTTACATAAATTCCTAGGAACTAGCTGTAACAAACTCTGCACCTGGTTGGGGAAATGCTAGGCCCTCCTCGCTGCCATCAGCACAGGTGAGGTGCTTACTAGGGTGAACGCTTGCTGGTGACTTTGCATTCTTTGTGAAAGTTGAGATTCTGCTGCCAGGTGAGGTAGAAGAGATGCAGGGAAGGAATATTGACTACTGGACAGCACAAAGAGTCCCTATCTTGAATGCTTCCAAATTCCACTTATCTTTAGGATCTGAGGTGCTTGTCTGGATGGAGTAACTAACATCTTTCATTTCACATCCACCTTTTGGCAGGTGGCATCTTGAGGATCTCACTGCTATTGAATCCTCCTCACAACTCTGTTTGCTTTTATTATCTTTTCACCCAGTTTTAAGAGCTTAATCTACTGCTAAATGGTGGCCCCAGAAATTTCTTCTAATTGCTGGATTAGGGTCCATCATGGGCATCATTTCTTTAACTTTCTCTTTTGTTCAACTGTGAATCAGTCTACTGCCCCTCTGGCCCAGACGCCATAGGTATCAACTCCATGACACAGCTTTATACCCTCTCTTATGGACCCAAATGAGGATTCTTTTGACAAATTCCAGAAATGGAACAAGTGATTGGAAGTACAGTCTTGTAACATACTGTTTAGATTGATTTCACCTCTCTCCATCTGAAGAGCAATATGTGTTCAATCATATCATAGTCCATTTACTGGTGCTATAGTAGACTGCCACAGACTGGGTCAATTATGAAGAAGAGAAGGTTATGAGGCCTATGGTTCTAGAGATGAAAAGTCCAGGGATCATGAGGCCCCAACTGGTAAGGGCTTTCTTGCTGTGTCAGGAAATGATGAAAAGCAGGTGTTACAGGGTAAGAAATGCGAGACAGAGAGACAGAGAGACAGAGAGAGACAGAGAGAGACACAGAGAGAGAGACAGAGACAGACAGAGACAGAGACAGAGAGACAGAGAGACAGAGAGAGAGAGAAACCAAACTTCTCCCCTTTGTAAGGAACCCTCTCCCATGATAATGCCATTCATCTTTTCTGGCTGGTGTTACCCCCAACACCTAATCTCTTCTGAAAGGCTCCCGCAGCTCCCAACACCATCCCAATGTCAACCAAACTTCAGTTCAAGTCTCAGAGGGGACATTCAACCATGAAACTATGACACATGTGCTCCCATAGCTGAGGCCAATGCTTGCCATTATCTGACTTTGTCATTTTTGACCTTTTGGCAATTGTGAAGCTTTTCTCGCCAACCTTGATTCTACATTTCTCCAATTACTGGAAAGTTTAAACATCTTTCTGCACTGTATCAGCGATCTGAATTCTTGTGAATTACTGTAATAACCTTTGTCACTACTTTTGTTGGATTTGATGATCCTTTTCTTACTAACTTACAGGCTTCCCTCACCTGTCCTAGACTGATTCTGAGTTTTAGATGTTGCCAGTATTATATTCCAACTTTTAAATTTTTATTAATGTGATCTTTGATATATTTAAGAAAAAATCCTCAATTTTAGTGTAATCAAATCCATAAATTTCCTTTTCTGCCTTATGACTTAGGACTTTGTCTTCTTTGTAAACTTTTTGCCTTACCTCTGCATCATCAACATATTCTCCATACTTATTTTTCTGTTAAACGTATGCTAGCTTCCCTCATGTTTAATCTCTTATCAGGATTGTACTCTATATAATATACAACTATAGGTACTCTTGCCCTCTTGGTCAGATTTTCAGAGCCATCTATGAAATAATAGAACCCATTCCAGTGACGTACAATCATATTTCAACTCCTCATTTGTAGATATGTGTGCTCCCCAGCCTCTGCTCTACTCCTGCGTCTTGGATCGGGAGACCCCATCAGCCTGATTTTATTGAGATGGTTGGTAAATCTCACTGTTTTTAAGATAACACTCCTCCCACACCTTCTTCTTTCTTATGGCTGGTCTAAGGAAATCTTACTCTTCTGTGTCCATTTTAACATAATATGTCTACATTTCCTATGAATAAATTTTAAAAATAAATAAGTAAATGCCACTGAGTTTTTAGGGTGACGGTGTTGGCTTTGCTTGGTTAGCACTTGGTTGTAAGATGCTTTTCTCCAGGTGTTTTCCAGGTATAACCTGGTGTGGGGTGGGGCTGGCAGGGGGGTGGGTGGTCTAGTTTCTTTTCATGAGTCCAGATGAGCCCTGTTCTGTTGCAGATGGTGGCTCTCTCTTCCTGTCCTCTGGAGTCCTGGGGCACCCAGGGAAGCTGGAGATCTGCTCCTTGGTTAGGGCACCGCTGCTCATGCCTGACTCCTCCTGAATAAGGACTCTGCTCAGGAAACCAGCCTCAGGGTTCAGATTTCCCCCCATTTAAGCTTGTGGCTTCTTGGCCTGGAGCCTGTTCCCTTCCCAAAATGTTTGTTAGTATAGTGGCTTTTTATGTCGCTTTATGGAAAAATTAAGGGGTGGAGGGGGGGAATGACTGTATTCTGCAAACCAGCCCATCCTGAACCTTCATTTACTGGAATTTGAGTCTTCTGCATACCTTGTTAGCAGAAAGAAAAAAAAAACCTTCAAATAGACTTTTTCCATGCAAGCTTACAATTGGAATGTTCTTCACCTCTTAACTCAGGCCAGGACAAATGTGGCCCAGACTCTGAAAACAGCCAGTTATTTAGAAGCCACACAGCAGCCTTTGCACAACATTTATGACTGCAGTTATCTGCACAAGGATCACCGGGAGGGGCCCAGGGAGACAGAGGGGAGAGGCCACTGCATCCTTGCCAAGTTGACCCCGGGGACACTGCTGGGGGACCCACCCCTAAGCTCCTCAAGGCTGAAAGTCACAGCTGGGAAGGTGTTGAGCAGGAGAGGAGCCCTCCACAGGAAGCAGTGTCTGTCTGCTTCACAAGGGAGCCTGAGGATCAGATAAAGCCTGGGCGCTGATAACCCGGGCACTGGGAGAGGAAGAGGGACCACAACTAGGCCCCCCAGAAATGTCATGTTTTTCTTAGAACTTGGGCCTGTATTGCACACAAATTTGAGATTATCTCTGACACTTATCTGAAATTAACTGTGGTTTTCAAATGAAAAACATTTAGAGGGGGACTAGATAAGAAGGAGGCCTATTTATAATATTTGCCACAAGGGGGAAAAAAGAAAGAGAAAGAGAGGAGAGAGAGAGAGAGAGAGAGAGAGAGAGAGAGAGAGAGAGAGAGAACAAAATGGTAATGAATGTCTTTCCAGCACCATTAATAAGGGAAAGAAAAAATTTTACCTCAATCACCTGCCTTCCAGTGGCTTCTAAGAGAAAATTCTGCTCCCAAGAAGCAGTCTGGATTCCCTTTTCATTCCAAATGTAGCGAGAATTGGGACACTATTGCTCTGAAACACTGACCCTGGCATACGTCAAAATGTTTTACTCCTGCAGTACAAATATTGGCCAGTGGTTTCTGGCCCTGAAAGGTGATTCCTAGGCCAGAACTACCTGGAACAGGTAACAGAGGTGGAATTGAGAAAGAGGCCAGAGTTCTGCTGGAGACGCCTGGGAAAGAGCCCGTGAAACCTTTGTGCAGAGACGGACTCATCAGGAAAGTCCAGAGCGCATGTGAGCGCAGGTGCTCTTTGCTTTACAGAGAGCAGCTGAGAGGAGTATCCCACCGCAACGCTCACTTCCAGCCGGGGATATGGAGGCTCCAAAAGTGTGCTGGCTAGAAAGAAAGCGGGGTGGAGTCTGCGGCAGGCTGGATTTTAGAATGCTCTCTCTTAACCACTTCACCAAATGACGTCAATACTCTGCTTTGCATTCCTGTTCCATCTAGTTGATGTCATTCTGTTCTGCACACAGTATATGTGAATAGTTGTGGCAAAGGGAAAGAAGGGTGACTTAGGGATGGTGTCGAGGGGGGAAGTATTCAAAGGAGAAACTCTCTAAGAAGCGCAGTAGGATCAGTTCAAATAAAAGCCAACCCGGAGTGCACACTTGCTATGTGAATAACACTGCATGGCATTGAGTGGGAGCTTTATGAGATGGCTTAAGCCATAATCACATATGTTACTCTGGGTCACCTGCATGTTACTGCGTGTAACATTTGTGTATCTGCATGTCATGTGCACAAGCACTGTGTGTACAAATCCATGTCAGAGGTGGGAAACAGAGGCTCAGAAGGGGTGAATGCTGTGCTAGCCTGAGGCTGAGCTGAGATGAGATCTCTCAAAGGCAAAGGACCGCCTCTTCTCCACCACGTGAGGCTACCTCTGCGCTCCTGGGGCGTGGGAAGTATCAGCTATTTCCAGGGCTTTGGGCTATGTCTATGTTGTTTTTGCCTTTTTCTCCGAGTCACAAGGTGGCAAAGAACAAACTATCTCAAACAACAAATCCCCAAAGAACAAATGATCCCCAGATCAGCAAGAAATATTTAACCCACATACTTCCCAACTTTTCTGCATGGCCTAACTTTCCGAATCACCTTTGCTCTTGGCCAGAAAAAAAAAATAGCACTTAAAAGAGTAGTTTTTATAAACTCTTTCAGCTCTAACTTGTGTTTCCTGTGCACTTAGCAGGTCTTAATGGAAAGCAAACTATCCTCTTAGGTGTCTATAGTCTTGATGCCATGGACCCATTTATTTAGGAAAATTGCATCCAAAAGAAAAATAGAGTTTTTAAAAGTATCTCAACACAACAAGAAGAGACCATTGCTAATTTTAAAAAGTGGGCTTCTTTCTTAAAGTTTGAAAAGAGGTGAGCTTTTAACAAGATCCTTGCTAACAGTCACGTTTATAAAAGTGTAATCATCCCCCAGCAAGATTTGTTTATCTGCCCATTAAAAAAAATTAAAACAATTTTTACTTTCAACTCTCTGAATAAGAGCTGTTTTTCCAGCTGTATCATCTAAGGAGGATTCAAGAGGTCTGGTTTGGTTACAGTTTTATTCAAAATAGCAGGAAAGTCTCTTACACAATTTTGCTTGGACTAAACTGCCTGGAAAGAAGTTTATTTATACTGTTTTATCGCACACCTGTTTGGATATGGGCTGTTTTCTGGTATTTAAACATACCATTTCTTGCCAATTGCTTTCTCTGCAGAACCCCCTGGTTTTGCTGCAAATGTTTCTTATTAACTCAGAAAGAAACACCAATTGCTCCATGAATGTTATTAGCCAGGACTAAAATAACTTAATGGTTCCTCACTTCCAACAAGTTATCATTGAAAAATTATATCTCAGGAATCCATTCTAAGTGAGGGAAAGGCCATTTCTCTCTATTTAGGGGTAACAAAGAAATAAGAAAGCCCTGTTGACAAACCCCTTCAATAAAAACATTTTTAAAGCCACCTGCTTGTTTCGAACTAGTGTAGCTGGGGGAGGAGGACATTGCTATTGAGATCGAAGAGGGATATTTTACCCACCTTGGAAGTTTTCAGATACATCCATGGCAACCTTAGAATTGGGGTGGCAGATCTAAATCCAGTGATGTGACCCTCTACAGGGAATTGAAACCCTAGGGACTGCTCTTACCACCTTGCCAAAAATGTGGATCCTAACAACTATCCACTGATAATGTAATTCAATGCACAAGTATTGAATAGTGATTATGGCAAAAACTTTGTGCTAGGACTTTGGGTGAACAGATGAATGAGACCGTATCTCCATACCCAGGAATTCACAGTTCACAGTCAGCACATAGTAGGTCTTCAGTCAACATTAGGAAAATCTGAAAATTTACATGTAGAATGGACATCTGACTATTTGCCTGAAGGTTTTATTTTTTAGTTTTTAGTTTTTCCTGTGCAGCTAAAATTCCAGGTTGAAACAGGAGCTTAACAAACTTATAATGTGTCTCTAGCTGTGTAACAAATTGTCCCCCAAACCTAGCAGTTTAATACAATAAGCATCTATTATCTCAATTCTGCAGGCTGGAGACCCCAAGTGTGGCTTAGCTGGGTAACTTGCCTTCAGATCTCTTGGGTTATGCAGCTTTCTTAGGCTAACAGCCCAGCTAAATCAAGTTAAAAAGGGGGAACGCTTACATTGGCTCCCAGTTTGGGAGGTTTTGGTCCATGACTAATTAGCCCTGTGGCTGCGTGGAGTGGCAGGACAGTACATCCCAGTGGAGTGTGTACAGGGGTAAGGTCCGTCCCCTCTTGGACAGGACACAAAAGCAAAAGAAAGTGTCCCAGAATCCCCTTGGAGCCCCTGATAAAGAAAAACCCTCACTAGGCCCCACATGTCCCAGTAGGACAATGGGCTTGGGGACCAGGCCTCTAGCACATGGCCTCTATGGGGGACATTTCAGATCCAAACTATTGTACTACTTAGAGGCTGCGATCTATTGCTGCCCTGGGCTCCCATCTCATCGTAAGCTCAGCTGCAGGGAGGTCTCCACCGGGTGCAATCACACGGTTCTTGGCCTCTTTCCATCCTTTGTGGAGGCTGCGGTACTGGGAACCTCAGTCCCGCCTTGCTGGCTGTGGCTAGGGAGGATTTCATTTCTTTGGTGTCTTGACGTGGTCACTGCTTAAGGCAGCACATAAAGTCGCAGCTGGCTTCTTGCAGCATGAGTTAGAAAACAAGAAAGAGTGACCAGAAAGGAAGCCACATTCTGGGTGCAAGCTGATCTTCGCAGTGACACCCACTCACGCAATCTCTTTACCATTATCTTCTTGTCAGGTGGGGGTGAACCAGAAGATCCAGCCCACACTCGTGGGCAACGGACAGCACATGGACTTGAATACCAAGAGCCAACAAAGGCCAACCTTTGGGGCTGCCTGATACATGCATGGAAAACTAAAAGGATAAAGACCTGATCTTCAGCCTCTCCTGAACCTCAGCATCAAGTGGCACCTTGCACAGTGTTTCAGCTCCATGCCCTGCTGAGTAGCACCGTTCCCATCTGTGTTTGAAACATCTGTTTCCTCTACTGGGCAAGTCTGCGAGTGCCTTGCCATAGTGCCCCACTGTTCAAACCATTTTATGGAAGCGTCTCTGAAAAAAGAGCCAGAGGTACCTGGCAGATCCTATTGTGTCCTTAAACAACAGGGATTGGAAAGCACAGCCCCAAACTTGGGGATCTGGAGTAATTCTCCCTCTCCTCTCCAGCACAAATCTTATTTTATCCTTGGACATCTAAGTGGTGATTGCAAATAATGAGCGGTTCTTTCTTCTTCAAACTGTGAGGATTAAATGGAATAAACAGTCAACATAATGTTGAAAATATTTCAAATGCTCAGTCCTGTACGATCTGAGATTTTTCCCTGCTTTCAAGAGTTTTAGAAAGTAAGAAAGATAACAGACAATGACTATTAGATATCATAAGTCTTAGACCATTAGAAGGCAGAAGTATGACCAGGGTCATATACACCAGTCTGCAGGGATGTGGGCTGGGACCCCAGAGTAGGCTCCTGAAGCCAGCACAGCCAGTGATGGAGAAACGGGGAGGAGGCAGGAGACGGTGTCTCCAGGAGAGCCCGTGCAGCCAGGGCTTGGCATTATGGCCGCAGAGCAGTAGCTAATCATTAATAATTACAAAAGCATTGTGTGCAATAGTTTACCTAGGGCAAGGACAGTGAGGAGCGCACGTTTACTGAGGAGTAGGTGCATACAGTGAGCCATCAGCTCTGAGAACCAGCATTATAGAAACAAAGGGCAGGGTGACCCGCACTTCATCAGCAATGTGGGGGAAGGCTGCTCCAGCAGAGTCTCTAGTACAGACCTGGAAGATAAGTAGCGGTCATAAAGGTAGACAGAAGTAGAAATGCATTCTGGGCTAAGGGAACCACATGTGCAAAATTTCTAAGGAGTGCTTGATCCCGCGAGCTGTCCTAGGAGGACACAATGACACTAAAGTAGAGAGAACCAGAGAGTGTCTGAGGTCACTCACTGTTCAGTGAGGTGAAGGCTTTGGACTTTGATTCCATGGGCTCAAAAGAAAATAAACTACGGAAGAGATTTAAGTGAAGACAATGTTATCAAACCAAACTTCGCTCTGAAGGATCATTCGGACTGAAGGCCTCAGGATACTATCAGTATTAGCATTTCTGTCCTGTTGTCCCTTTCCCATGGCTATCACACACTCAAAGATACAGATGGTTAAAGAATACAAGGGCTCTGGCTGCCTGCCCTGTTGGAAAACACAAACAAAACGCCTGGACCTTTGAATTCAATCCACCAGACTCTGGGTTCAAGTTCCCAGAACCAGAAAAGCAGCACAAATAATAACTCCCCTGCCATCACTGCCTTGGCTTGAGCAATATTTTAAAGATACTCGTGCTCATCCTAGTGTTTTAACAAATTGAAGTCGAGCATGGGTACCAAGTCTTGGCATAGCATCAGTGAAGACAGGAGACAGGGTCTTGGAGACCAGTATTGCACCCCATGATGAGCAAGTTTTTAATCCTGTTCACTGCACTTCTTAAATGACAGTAAATGGTCTCAGAGAGAATTCAAAATCCTGGCCACTAAGTTCTCCAG